TGCCAATGACGTCATACCCCCTCGATTTCCGGTTTTGTTTTGTATTCTTTAATATGTTGTGCGTTTTAATAAACCGGTGACGACCTCACAAAGTAGCATTATAACAGAACTTTCAAATGTATTGAGTATGATAAAACAGCGCTGTTTTTTTTCTCCCACATACACACGACCGGAAGGAGAGGAAGCGGTCGACTGTGGCATAATAAAAGCTCCGCTGCTTTTGAGCCGTGTGTCACGCTCGTTCAGCGGCCTCGTTTCGCTTCGACGGCTTTCAGCCTCACCCTGCTTCATTCTACTACGTTAATAAATCATTAGCTCATCCATGAACATGATTTCTGCCCGAGCCCCGTCGGATTGCATCGGCTGTGGGGATGAAGACGACAACTCCCATGATTCCACACTCAGTCACGCCGTCATCAAACTACGCCTTTGACTCTTTGTTTATTTTGAATACGCGCCCTCTAGCGGCGAAAATGACATATTGTGCCTTTAAGTGAAAGCAAACAGCTGAGAAAAGAAACACACACACACACATGTAACAATATATTGAATCGGCACCTATAATATTCCTGTCATTCATGTTAATCAAAAAACAAAAGAGAAAATCTCTCACTGCTCTTGGCTAAATCACTTTTGTAACTTAAAAATGAAGAAATATATATTAGATTTACTCCGTGAAGAATATGCAGTGTTTTGATACTTTTGATTACACGATTTATGTAGAATTTCTTATTTATTTCTTCTACTGTAGTGTTTTTTTTTTTTTGTCAGTGAGCTTGAGTTTTGTTTTGTTTTTTAATTTTGGCTAGTAGGCTATTAGGTTTTTGTGATATTGACACTTGTTACAAGAGTTATGAAATTTCTATGGTATCAAAAATGTTTATATCATAAAGACGTTATTTAAAGCAAAAATAACAATATTGTGATATAGATCGTTACTGTGAAGTAAAATTACTCGTATCGTGATATAAGATTTTGATCATATCGCCCACCCCTACCAGTCCTGTTTCTGATTCTCTTTAAAGCACACATCAGCTTTTCTTTCTCTTAGCTTACAGCCAGTATATGGAGCACAGCACCCTCCTCTGGACCCACGCAGACACCGTCCGTAAGTGCTGCTGCTAGCTGTGGACTGTCTGCCTGCAAATCAGCCATTTGTTTTCTCTTCATTCATGTTTTCTGCCTTTCAGTTGTGCTCTGAATCATCTGAATATGTTTTGAGTGCATGATTTGCATAAACCTTTTGCAACTTTTGATTTTTTTTTTTATTTGTCTTGCATTATCCTTTCTAACTGTAACCAGTTCATATGTTATAGAGCGTGTGCAATATTGTAATTTTCAAAAACCTCTTTATTTGTTTCCCAACAGATTAAAAGATGCTCCAAAGGCCAGCAGTGTGCACACCAAATCCAAAAAACCTTCCACTTTCCACGAATTTGCTCGGAGCACCAATGATGCATGGGACATTGATGATGAAGAAGATGACGGTATGTTTAGTCTTAAACAGCTCTCATCTTCACCTGTCCAATCACGATCCATGCCTCAAACACCCTGCCTCAAAATCATCAAAACCCCAGAAGACACAGAGCCACTGCCCCCCACACTGGACCGGCAGGAACCAATCAGCACAAACCCCAATCAAGATCGACTGGATATAGAAAGCGGTCCAGCCAATGGCAGGGTGGTCAAGTCCAGTAGTGACGCCCAGCTGAATGTTAATGCAGGTATGCTGGTTGCTGTTGTTTTTAAGCTTGTAAAATGATATAAAGTCATCAATCAGATGTGGGTTTTTTCGACCTACCTTTAATCTAAAAAGTCCCATCATTACCCAATTACTGTTTGATATATGGCTGGTATGGTTGTATAAATGTCCTTTAATCTTTAAAGAAAGCTAACTTGAGTTTATTATCCTCATCATAATTGAAAATTTGTGTTGCTCATGTTTCATGAATGATACCAGGGGAAGTATCATTCTTGTCAACTAAAGTATATAAATATATAAACACACTACCGTTCAAAAGTTTGGGATCAGTAAGATTTTTAATATTTTTTACTGAAGTTTCTTGTGCTCATAAAGGCTGTATTTATTTGATCAAAAATACAGAAAAAACCCGTTATTTTGTGAAATATTATTGCAATTTAAAATAACAGATTCTATTTTAATATACTTTAAAATATAATTTATTCCTGTGATCAAAGCTGAATTTTCAGCATCATTACTCCAGTCTTCAGTGTCACATGATCCTTCAGAAATCATTCTAATATGCTGATTAATTATCAATGTTGGAAACATCTGTGCTGCTTCATGTTTTTTGGAGCCTGTGATACTTTTTTTAGGATCCTTTTATGAATATATATATAAAACAGCATTTATTCAAAATGGAAATCTTTTGTTACAATATACACTAAAGTTCAAAAGTTTGGAGTCAGTAGATTTTTCTTTCTTTTTCAGAAAAAAAGTATCAGTTTCCAAAAAAAAAACCATGAAGCAGCACAACTGTTTCCAACACTGATAATAAATCAGCATATTAGAATGATTTCTGAAGGATCATGTGACACTGAAAAGTGGAGTAATGATGCTGAAAATTCAGCTTTGATCACGGGAATAAATTAAATTTTAAAGTATATTAAAACAGAAAACCAATATTAGAAATTGAAATAATATCTCACAATATTACAGTTTTTTTCTGTATTTTGATCAAATAAATACAGCCTTGATGAGCACAAGAGACTAATATTTACTGAATTAAAGGATATTTTGTAAAAACAACCAAATGTAAAAAATCTGTTAAAAAAGGGTGTGTGTATAATATCCATGCTAAATAATATTTTTTTATTTATTTAATAGTACCTTAATTAAAAATATATTAACATATAATCACATATATTATGTTATTTGTAATTTTTAAAGATTTTTATAAAATATATGTTAATATTAATGCTTAATATTTGTATGGTTTTGTCCTGTTTAGCTCGCAATACCCTGCAAAAACAGCAGTCACTTCCTGTGCGGCCCATCGTTCCATTGGTTGCACGCATTTCAGACCAAAATGCCTCTGGAGCTCCGCCCATGACGGTGAGAGAGAAGACTCGATTGGATAAATTCAAGCAGCTACTTGCCAGTCCCAACACAGACTTGGGTAAGCTTTAAATGAAACAATTAGAGACTTGTGCAAGCATTAAAAGAAAAACAAGGGATAAGGTCCATTTTCAGCAGGATTATAAAAGTGGCCACTTGTGGGTTATTTGTGTAAGATATTAAAGCCCATCCATCAGGGACCATCTCAAAACAGAAAGCCGCAAAACCCTCATGTGTGTTCACACCTCATTCTCTCGCCTGCTTTCTGCATTCACTCTAGCTGAATCTCTTTGCCAGGTGAGACAGTGTGGGATGGCAGAATGGATGAAAACCGTCCATGATGTTATCCTAGTCTTCCTGAGTTCACGCTGAGAGGCCCTTCTGTTCTCTCCATGTCCTCCAGCCAATCGTCTCTTCAAGTGCACCTGCGAGCTGGCGGAACAAAAACAAGTTCTGCGCTTGCCTGCGCTCATTTGTGCTGCTGATGCTATAATGATGCTATCAAAGAGACTCCCTCTTCTTTGCTTTATAACTAAGTTTCAGCCTCCGCAGGCTCTGAGCTTTCTGAGCGACAGGCTGAAATCACGGGGGAATGAGAATCATCAGTCATTGGAGGGGAAAATAATGCGTATGTGCTTCTTCCACAGCGCCCTATGAAAAATGTGCTTATGATATAGTTGGAGGGGCTTCCCTGCACAGTACTCTGAGTTCATAATAGCTTCTGAGATCTTTCATCATTCTGCTATCATACGACGGTTGGCAGGTGTCCAATGCCATTAGTATTTTAGGAGCGCTTGGATATCGGTTTCGTGTTTGTTCTAACTCAAAAACGACCCAGGAGCGATCTCACCAGATGTTTCTCAGCAAGTCTTTAAGTTTTCATAGATGTTGTTTTTACATTCGCTGATCACAATGACCCAGAGGGCTTGGCGGGAGTTTGCAAAAACAATCCTGAAAAAGTGGTTTAGACATCAGCACCTGAACAGATCGATGATTTCTGGTCTAATGGCATCCATCTGTATTGTAATGTTTACTTCATAACAATGACAAAATAAGTAATTGAGAGCGGTGGAGTCGAAAAGCTCCATTCGATTAAAAACTAAAAGGAACAGACAGAGAGAATGGTTAAAATTAACTTTGATTCATCTGGTTGTTATGCCAACAATTATCTTTGCTCTTTATCGTAAGACTCGAAAATACAATACAATAGACTTTTATACATTTTTTTAGTGGTCATTGCAAAGGCAGGAATCATAATTACAAAATCAGTCGCACTTTAGCATGTAACTCGTCTTGATTTGTTTACTGATACTTTGTGTGTTAAGGAGACATCTGCTTTTGTAAGTGATTGGAGCCTTGGGGCTATTTTGGCTTGGTGCTGGTATGAAACCTCCTAGCAACCACACAGAATACCCTAGCAACTGCATAGAAACACATATCATAGTAAGTTGCAAGGACACATTTTCTGAAGAAATCGAATTGTAACATAAAAAAAAGACCATACTCTATTGTGGAATTGCTAATTGTTCTTGGGAAATTGTTTTCATTTGTCCAAAGTATTTCAATTCAGTAGCTCCTAAATCTCTAAAGTTTTGTTGAATTAATTTATTTTTATTCAGAGACATAATAAGAAAATAAACTGCCGAAATCATTTTCTTAATCACTATTTGTGTCTTGTTTTCTAGTCAAACATATTTAAAACAAAATAATAAGTAACAATAAAGTAAAGGGCACTTACACCATTTTGTTAAATTAATTTATTTTTGTTCAGAGACATAATAAGGAAATAAACTGCCAAAATGATTTTCTTAATCAGTATTTGTTTCTTGTTTTCCAGTCAAACTTAAATACTTAAAGCAAAAGGATTCACTTGAGAAGCAAAACTGTGTAAGATATAAACCTAATTCATAATATATTATTAAACAAAACATGACAGCAGGCCATGACACAGATGCTTTTGAAGCTGTTTGCCTAAATGTGCTCTCCAGACATCATGCTGACATCCCAAGCCATTGCTCCATCACCTGTGAATCGTCAACTTCCCAGCCATTACTTTAAAATCAATGTGCAGTTATGGCTCACTGTCTTATTGGAGTTACCATAATTCAAGGTGGCATGGTTGTGAAAACTCTGAGTGTGTTTGCTAACTAAAAATAATTGTTTATTGATTATGTTGATTGAGCTATAAGTTAGTGTCACCAGTCCTGTGAAGGCAGACGACTGTTGATTTAAAGCATGATTTTCTACCACCGCATATGAACAAACTCTTAATGCATGTTTAACTGCTGATTGGTCAATATATACATTAATTCCAGCATTCTGCTCTTGCAGCTTTATTTTTACATTGTAGTTTCACGTCCAAACTGCAGTATGATCTGTCATCAAAGCAGCTGTTCACACAACACAACAGTTGTGCTGCTGAAGTATTTGTCATTTTGGATTAACTTTGCACTGTTTTTTTTCATACAGAAGAGTTACGGAAGCATAGTTGGTCGGGAATCCCTCGTGAAGTTCGGCCAGTCACCTGGAGACTCTTATCAGTAAGTATTTACCACTACTGTTTATTTCATGTCCATTTTGGCATGCTATTCAAACAAACAGCAGTGAGATGACAAGAAAAGATGTGGAAGAGAGGGAAGAAAAGGACTGAAATATGTTGTGAGATGTATTTGAGCTCACGTTGTTGTCGTGGACACATGCCCTAAACACTAGGCCTTGGTTTCAATGCCTTCTAATGCAATAATTATTAATATATCTTTAATTGATCTGTTTTATTTAAGAAAATTAATTAATTGTGTTGGGTTTGTTAAAAATATTTTGAGCTACTTCTTGAAATTACTTAATTGAAATGCAGCCAAATGGATATTCAATATAATGAATAATACAAAAATGTCGTTATAAACAATAATTAATCAAGGAATTTTTTTATTTACTGTAAGCCAGCATAACAACATGCTAGCAGTTTAGTTCTGCATAGGGTGCACAGTCATTTTCTATGCTTTTCAAAGAGTATAAAACTTCCACGCCACTTTCAGTTTAATGTGCGCTATTGATTTGTTTTGCAATATTGGTTTTGCTGAGCACTTAATGTCAGCAGAATTGTGACTGTCATCATCCGAGGGGTTGAGCAGGCCGATGTGTTGTGGCTGTATGTGTGCGGATGTTCGGAGAATGCTTTACAAGCCTCATTTGCGTTTCTGGCGCATGCTTACACAGTCAATAACACACACCTCTGGGCTAAGCTGTACAAGCAAATCCCCACCCCGACCCAGCTCCTCCAAGCTTTTACTGCTTCATGCATTTGCTAGGGGGATTAAACGGAATAATTCCATATGTATAAAATTACCGAGGTAGATGCATGCTAAACGAATGCTAATGTGACAAAAAACAAAACAAAACATTTCGTCTCGGCTTTTCGTATTCAAATTGTGATTGTAAAGAGCAACAGTTGCGTTTTGTTTTTGTTGGTTCACATCACGTTTGTGTTATGGCGCCAAATGTAAACGTTTCCAACTTCGATCCTTGATTTACAGCACACAAACCTCGCCAAGACCTTCTCGGAATCCCATTGGAAAGCCGTTTTAAGATCATTTCGATTTTCAGCATGGAATTTAATAGCCGTTATTAAAGTTTTGAAGGGCCGATGATGGGGCGAATCCAAACGAGCGGAGTTTGTGCACTTCTTATTCGCCCTGAAGCTACAGTCGTGAGCTGCATCGAGTCGGATTCTGAATGTACGTTATCATGTATGTGTTCAAGCACTCTGCAACTCTGTGTGTGCTCATTAAAACAAGAGTTGAGAAACAATGGGAGGGGAAGGCACTTTTAAAAACACCATTTTCTGAAACACGATCTAACTGACAGTTCCACGCCTCCACGTCTGCTCTACAAATAGCCTTCACTTGTTGTCTGCTCTTTAAGGAATCATCTGTAGCTAGTAAGTATGTACTAGCACAATTGCATCCTGTCTGCATGTTAGTTTAGTAGCTACATGATTAGAAGTTTCTCCCAGAGTTGTGGCTTTTTTTTTCTTGACTTTTGAGATCAGTGGCTTGTGTTCTGTATTTTCAAGTGTGTTTCTTAGTTAGTGGTGTTTGCTAAGGCAAGCATCCCTATTATTATTGCTCATACCATTATTCATACTATACTATTATTGAAGCAATTTCTCTATGCAGTCTGAATTACAAAGTTTTCTCGGTGGACAATATAACAGGCAAAGTTTTGCCCTAGTGGACAATATAATGGTCCCATAAACCCATAGACTTGATTGAAGTAGAAAAACCCAATGCCACAGTTCAATAAATGGATCAAAAGTGATATTAATGACAATTTTTAAAAAAACGAAAGATTTCAAGATACATTGTTACAAAGTTCTTCTGAACTTTCTATTAATCAAAGAATCCTAAAATACATTATCACCGTTTCCACAAAAATATTAAGCAGCGAAACCTTATTCAACATTGACAGTAATGAGAAATGAGCAGCAAATCAGCATATAAGAATGATTTCTGAAGAATTATGTGACACTGAATACTGGAGTAATGATGCTGAAAATTCAGCTTTGTATCACAGGAATAAATTACATTTTAAAATACATTAAACTAGAAAATATATAGTTTACATTATAATAGTATTTCACAATATTATTATATATGATTTATTGTATTTTGATCAAATAAGCACAAGCATTAAGCAACTACCCAGAACATCTTAGCAACTGCTTAGCAATGCTTTAAAAACCATCCGGACACCTCTGAACCACCCTAGCATCTAAATGATAATGCACTTTATGAACTTTATTTTTCATTAAGGCACTTTGGAAGGAAAGCGTTTGCTAAGAACTTAAATGAAATGCAACTTGTCTGATTTGCTTCTCTTATAAGAAGCCTTTTGAAAAGTGCCATTTGTATGAGCAGCACAAAAAAAGCCAGTAGCATAAAATCAGTCAGATCGTATTCTGAAAGGCATTCATTAAACATCTGACTTCAGCATGATAAAGAAGGTTGTCTCATTGAAATGATACAATCTGTAGATTTAAAAAAAAAAAAAAAAAAGATCAAAACCTTTTTTTTTTTTTTTACACTTTTTTTTTCATGGGACTACAGTATTGAACTGAATTTACATACTGCTGTTTTTAATCTCTTTTAGTTTGCATTATTTATAGGTTATAGTTTGGTTACAGGGCAAGATACACTTGGAAGACATGGAGAAAGTGGGTGTACAACAGTTCTGTTCTGAACACTATTAAATTAGCATTTTCTTCTTTCCATGTGCTTTCTCTCAGGGCTATCTTCCAGCCAATAGAGAACGAAGGGATCTGGTTCTCCAGAGGAAGAGGGAGGAGTATTTTGGCTTCATCGAACAGTATTACCACTCCAGAACAGATGAGAATCACAGAGACACATACAGACAGGTAAATCCCAGCCTGCTTCTGAGTATGTTCTCAAAAAAGGGGAAGAGTTGGCTAAAATTGACCCCTTCCTTTCTGAACCTGATTCTGATTCTACACAATTTCCAGGAGTAAGCGAGCACCTTTATCAGTCCACAAATATGATCCTGGATCACAAAACCAGTCAAGCTAAATAAATAAGCTTTCCATTGATGTATGGTTTGTTATGATAGGACAACATTTGGCCGAGATACAACTATTTGAAAATCTGGAATCTGAGGGTGCAAAAAAATCTGAATATTGAGAAAATCTCCTTTAAAGTTGTCCAAATGAAGTTCTTAGCAATGCACATTACTCATCAAAAATTTACAAAATATCTTCATGGAACATGATATTTACTTAATATCCTAATGATTTTTGGCATAAAAGAAAATTCAAAAATATTGACCCATACAATGTATTTTTGGCTATTGCTACAAATATACCCCAGCGACTTAAGACTGGTTTTGTGGTCCAGGGTCACAAATATCCAAATATTTAACTGTTTCTCATTACAGTTCTTTGAAAAACGTTTAAATGTTCAAATGTTCAATGATGTACATGTTTTGTTTTGAGATCTTAATGTTACATAAGGATGTTTTAGGAAATGTTTTGCTGAAACACTTTGGAGTTTATTGTGTACATTATTATATCTAGGGTCGATGTACCATATCATGGTGTCCATTATTACAGACAGTGTGTAAACAGAAAAAGCATTGTCTGTTCTAATGGACAGCATGTCACGCATGCCATCCATAGACATTATGTTGAAAGCAACCCAGAATATTTGTTTAAATCCAGGTTGAGTTAGTTGGCAAACATCATAATATGCAAACCTGTTGTCTGTAATGGCAGGAATCCAGATAACGCATGGGGGAATTTCAGTGGAAAAGGATCTCATAAGATCGTTTGCAAGATTAGAAATATTATTTTTTTTAATTCCAAATATTATTTGTTGAATATCTGTCCATTTTGCTGTTAAAGGGCTGCATTTAGTGTTCATACATCCCTCAAAACACATCTAATGTGAGTTTTGTGAACATGACAGTAAACATGCTTGATTTGACAGGGCTTCTTTAAGACAGACTGATTGATTTGGGAAAAACCCTGAAAAAAAATTAAATTTGGGGTCGGTAAAAATCTTATGCTCACTTGAGGCTACATTTAATTGGTCAAAAAAACTTTAAATTTGAACTCTTTTCTATATGAATATATTTTAAAATGTAATTTATTCCTGTGATACAATGCTGAATTTTCAGCAGACATTACTACAGTCTTCAGTGTTACATGATCCTTGAGAAATCATTCTAATATGCTGATTTGCTGCTCAAGAAATATTTCTTATTATCAATGTTGAAAACAGTTGTGCTGCTTAATATTTTTGTGGTACTTTTTTTTGATTCTTTGAATAGTAGAAAGTGCAAAAGAACAGCATTTATTTGAATTAGAAATCTTTTGTAACATTATAAATGCCACTTTTGTTCAATTTAATGCATCCATGCTAAATAAAAGTATTCATTTCATTACAGAAGAAAAAATCTTTTAAACAGTAGTTGAGATTCACATATCTACTGCTAATTACTTCTGATTTGGGATTTAGCAGACACTTCAACCCATTAAGAACAATCCCTCTGGAGCAACCTGAGGTTAAGTGTTTTACTCAGAGGAGCCATGGTTAAAATTCACAAATCAATCCTTGTGGAGTTTGAACCGACAACCTTTAGCCCAGGGGCCTTGTGTATAACACTTGCATAGAGGATGATTCTTTCATGAATGGAACTAATCCGATTCTGTAGCTCAAGTGAGTCAGTGATACATTTGCAGAGATTATCAGTGAATACCGTTGTAAATTTTGGTCTGCTCCTCACACTAACCTCATCGTATGACCTCAGAAGACTCGTAGTGCACAAGACTTTTGCATCTTTTCTTTGAAACTTTTTTTTTTTAAAGGATGATTTTTTTTTGGGTGAACCATCTTTTTAACCACTAGGCTACACCAGACGCCAATCCGTTGAGGAACCTCATCATCTCTGCAGTGAGTCAGTCAAGGTTTCACCTGCTTCTAGAAAGCTATAGTAGTAATACACACAGATTTTGTCCTGTGTGTTATTAATGTGGGGACGAAGGGGGCCGGGATCAATATTCTTATGGGCTGTAAAACTCCGGTTAATGGTGCAGGACTGGTAGTCGATTGCTATGCGCTGCCTTCTCTCCTCTCTTGTCCGGTTCCTCAGGGCATGCTGGCTCCCAGCCCCTCATTTCATCTACTGCAATACAAATCGGACACAGACCTTTAAAAGGATTTATATGGTCGTACAGAACCGTTGGACTGGCCCCTGGCTGTCTGGGCAGAAACACTAAATGACCTTTTAGTGTAGTCACAGACTGAGAGGGCGAGGAATGGCGGTGAATACGAGCGAACCGCACTTCAGTGGCCTTCGAGTGACCTGCATTACTACAAAGCCATTTCGCCAAACATATGATGGAAGTAGAAATAGAGAGAGGGAAGAAACCAAGAGAGAACTGGATGAAACAGAAGGGTCGCCACCTGTATGTGCGGCTGGACGCTGCGCTGTCCGCTTTCCAAGTGAATTCATGCAGGTTTTGTGTGTAGCTTGTTACGAAACCAGATCGATAGCATGTGCAGTTTGGGCCCTGATGGGTTTCCTCCATTTACTGGAAGGGAAAAGGCACATGTAACTCAATTGAATGCTTTTGGGCCATATTGATTTAATCTCTTATTTTTTTCCCTGGTCACCTGTGTTCCTGGCTGGTTTGTGTTTGTGTGGGTGTGCATTTGAGCTTACCTGTATACACCTGTGTGTGTGTCTCTCCATAGATTCACATCGATATCCCGAGGACGAACCCTTTGATTCCTTTGTTCCAGCAGCCGCTGGTGCAGGAGGTAGGTGATCGTCTGAGGCACCAACACCTGAGTCTCGCTGCACAGTGCACCTGTGACAGACCCACCAACATCATACAGACATCTGATCTCACACAGCAGGCATTACACACTTAATGTAATCATAAAGATAAGAGAGTGAATCACACACAGAGTCATGTCCAGGTCACTTTATGCCCTGAAATCAAAAGAAAATAAAAAAGCTGAATTTTATGACTATTATTTTATATTATAAAATAATATTTTATTATTAATATTAAATATTATATTATTATATTCATATTATTAATATAATAGTATTATTATATTATTTATTTTATTATATATCTTTATTTTTAAATTATTATTATTATCATTATTTGCATTGTGACAGTAGTTTGCAAATGATCACTACCATTATGCATTCATTTTTCATTTTGAAATTCACTTGTTTTTTTCCCCAGTTGTGATTGAGGAAATATAATTTAAAATATAAAATATAATTTGTCTTTTTACTTTGGGATGAAATATGATCAAGACATATTCTTGAAATATTTCATGAGATTCACTTAAGAAAAGAGCTTACTATTCATAGTTTTTGCTTTTAGAGACAAGCCCATTTTACCACAAAAATCATTATCATTATGCAACAGAGTTTCCATTTTCATTTTTCTCAGTGGTGATTGGTGTGTTTTGGTGTGCATAAAAACGAGCATAAATGACTATACACAATTACTGTAATGCAGTAAAAGTTCATTGTTGCAGTGCATTTAAACAATGACGTTGAAGCACATTTTTCTTCCAGTTCTCATGTAAATTATTTGATGCAAAACATAATTTGTCTTTCTTTTGTGTTGGGGTGAAGTATGACCAGGAAATATTCTTGAAAGTTTTCATGAGATTCACTCAAGAAAGAGCTTACTATTCCTTATCAGTGTTTATTTTTACATATTTTTGTTCATATTCACAGTTTTGTTTTTGTTTTTAGTTATAGTTTTTGTCTTATATAGTATTTTATTTCATTTTACCTATTAAAATAATAATTTTAGGTAACAAAATTAACATTTTATTGTATTCAAATATTTGCACGCATAAATGTATTAACATTTTATTTTATAAATCAACCTATTGTAGCAGTTTAGTTTACCATTGTTCAGTTCATATTTGTCAACAACGTGTTTTAATTCAAATGTAATTATTGTCCTGATCATTTTAGTTTTATTGTCTTTTTGTCTCATTTTTGTCTTTTTGTTCTGTTGATAAAAAAGGCAATCAAAAACCTTTCACCACTGGAAAGTTTGTCTGTAATTTTGCTGATGATGTTCTGAATAGATGTTGCTAGCATGCTTTGGTTTAACTGAGCTTTGTGTCATTGGATGCTTACCAGCAGGGGGTGCTGTGGTGTTTTTAACTTTTAGAGGAGTGTGCAACACTTGTAAACCAGAAACCAAAAGGAACAGAGCACTTGAAATGCAGCTGCATTTGGAAATATAAATAAAAGTATCCGAATGAGTGGACATGTTGGTATGTCAAGAGTGAATTAAGCAACATCAATTGCCAAATGTTTGCACAACAATCACACTTGTTATGAGAAATGAATCATTAAGAGGTATTGTCTTGTTTTTCAGGTGTTCGAGCGGATTCTGTTCATCTGGGCCATCCGTCACCCCGCTAGTGGATACGTGCAGGGCATTAATGATCTGGTCACTCCCTTTTTTGTGGTCTTCCTCTCTGAATTCGTGGGTAAGTGTGTAATAACCTTCCACTTGGATCAGTTGGTCCGTTTGACCGATTTTTCACCTTTCTGAATGTGTTCTTTTGGTTGAGCACATCAGTTGTGTTTGCTCCGCTAATAGTGCACTGACGTGTGTGATATGCCAGCAGAGTCCGAGAGATGCAGACGGGCCGGTATCTGACAGATGATGTTGGAAAATGGTTGTGTAAATGTAAACAAACTGACAATATCCTGTGAAAATGTCAGACACAAAAATACAGAATATCAATTATCTTTGAAAGAAACTCTGAAAGATAGACAGTGAGAGAGTGAGAGACCGAGAAAGAGACAAATGGTGAAAGAGGGAGACAGATGGAAAGAGTGACAGACAGAAACAAAGGGAGATGGGAAGAAGACGGGCAGACGTTCAGAGAGAGAGACAGATAGTGTGATGGACAGAAGGGAAGACGGAAGAGACAGATGGGGAGAGAGGGAGACAGAGATTGTTACATCCATTTGTCTATCATTCTGTCTGTCTTTCTATCTATCTATCTATCTATCTATCTATCTATCTATCATTCTTTCTACCCTTATATCTATCGTTCATTATATTGTTCTTGTGGTCTATCTATCTATCTGTCTGTCCGTCTGTCTGTCCGTCTGTCTGTCTATCTATCATTCTTTCTACCCTTATATCTATCGTTCATTATATTGTTTTTATCTATCTATCTATCTATCTATCTATCTATCTATCATTATTTCTACCCTTATATATATTGTTCATTATATTGTATCTATCTATCTATCTATCTATCTATCTATCTATCTATCTATCTATCTATCTATCTATCTATCTATCTATCTGTCTACCCTTATATCTATCGTTCATTATATTGTTTTTGTGATCTATCTATCTATCTATCTATCTATCATTCTTTCTACCCTTATATCTATCGTTCATTATATTGTTTTTGTTATCTATCTATCTTTCTACCCTTATATCTATCGTTCATTATATTGTTTTTGTGGTCTATCTATCTATCTATCTATCTATCTATCTATCTATCTATCTATCTATCTATCTATCTATCTATCTATCTATCGTTCTTTCTACCCTTATATCTATCGTTCATTATATTGTTTTTGTGGTCTATCTATCTATCTATCTATCTATCTATCTATCTATCTATCTATCTATCTATCTATCGTTCTTTCTACCCTTATATCTATCGTTCATTATATTGTTTTTGTGATCTATCTTTCGATTGTTCTATCTATCGATCGTTCTATCTATCTATCGTTCTGTCATTCTTTGTCTAAGTCTACAAACCATCTGTCTGTCTGTGTCTGTCTGTCTGTCTCGTTATATTGTTCTTTCTGTATCGTTATATTGTTCTCTATCTATATCTATCTGTCTGTCTGTCTGTTGTTATATTGTTTTCTCTGTCTTTCTCATATCGTTCTCTCTATAATTACATCTCTTTCTATCATTCTTTCTGTCTATCGTTTTAGCACTCTGTTAATCTTTTTGTTCTTTATATTGTTCTTTCTATCATGCTGTCTGCTCAATCAATTGTTCTGTCACTTGTTCTGTCCATCTATCACTCTATCATTCTATCTGTCTGTCTATCAATAGATGGATGGTTAGATGGAGGGAGGGAGAGATGAAGACAGAAAAAGAGAGACAGACAGGGAGGGAAATAGACTCTCCAGCTCTCGTCCTCATTGCTATTCTCCCTCCACCCAGCAGACTTCCCCTCCCTTCTTATTTATTTCCTGTCCTCTCATGTGAAGGTTAATTACTTATGGATAGTTAAGGATTACAGAAGAACAATAGGAGGCTCATTGATCTCTCCGGTGTGCCGCTGCTGCAATGTCACCAGTGCAAACACCGGGACATACCCACAGATTACCTGGATCACCAATCGATTTCTCTTTTTCTCCCGCGTCTGTCTCTCTCTCTCTCTGACTGTGGCCCAGCGCTCTCTCTGTCTTTTCCTCATCCCTCTGTTTCTCCACAAAGCTCATTTAGTGAAAAGCAGATTTTTCATACCGGCGCCTTCGTGTCAATCTGCAGGGCCTTTCTATCTCTAATTTGTTTGCTGGCTGTGTGAATATGTGTGTGTGCGTTTGGGATTCACCGCGTGTGTGAGCGAGCGACTCAATGCCGCAGGTTGAATGAGCCACATTGATCGGCTGGATTTAAGTGTTTACAGAGGCTTGCGAAGGTGCCGAGCACACGGTGGGGGGCTCGACCCGCCGATCGATAAATCTGAACGAACTTCATGATCCCAACACGCTGCCAGCGGGAGATAAAAGAGCGAGGTTAGCGCCCTCCCTCTGACGCGGGTTTCACCCCCGTCGTCGAGGCCGCGGGGCGAATGCGGGCTGTAACGGCTTCGCCTGCTCTCATACGCAGCATTTTGCCAACTTTCGCTGCGCTGTTTCTCTTGGCCTGCACGCCTCACTGGCTTTCTAGGGCTCCTCTGCAAGCTTTTTAACTTTCTGCTGAGACTGTCCTCCGAGAGAGATGGCGTAGGAGAGTATTGGCGCTTCGCATTTAGCTCAATATCAGCGAGTAGCGTTTTAAAGAGTAGCCGCCGGCAGGAAAGAGAGTCACGGCGCCCTTCGGTTTTAAGTGTTGGTATTGATGCGCCGAAGAATTTGAAGTGGAGAGAGAGATGTGGCCGAGAGAGAGGGAATATTCTCAAAGGGTAAATCATCACATTTACCCTGACAGACAAAGAGGACAGTGGGGAAATCTCCTCTGTAAAGCATCAATGCCCTCTCTCGTCTCTCAACTCTCCCTCTTACACACACACTTTGGTTTTTTTTATTACTGAAAAGGGTGTGTGATATTCTCACCTTGTTATTTATTGCCTTCCTGGTTTTATGGACTGTTATTTGCGCCGTCGAGATGCAGTTTTAGTATTAGATAAATGGTCTGGGTGAAACAAGTTTGTGGTTTGGTGGTGGTGGTGTTGTTGTTGTTGAACAATAAGCCGCAAGAGGGTAAAATCACAAATGCACCGCTATTGTGGCTTGAAAATGTTCAACAAAAATGGAAAATATTCAAAAAATAACCGTAATATAATTTGTTTTATAAACTAGTTTTTTTTATAGTTGTCAAGCGACATGACTATTTAAAGGAATTGTTCATTCAAAAATTAACTTGTAATTTACTCACTCACATGTCAATCCAAACCTGTATGAGAAGAACGAATCAGTCGCTGAATGAGTCAGTGAAAAATGAATCTTCACTCTTTTCCATGGAATTGGCGGCTGGAGCTTTGTAATCTTGCAAAAAGCACCATAGAGGTAGTCCATACCACTTGTGCACTATATTCCAAGTCATTTAATAGCTTTGTGAGGTTGAAATTTCAACGGTATCAACTGAAAATCTTCTCCTTTAGTTATTGCGACTGGACCATTAAATCAGTGAATTAAGCTTAAAACCTCAAGACCAAGTTTGGTTTGAATTTGTGACTTTGTGAATGTCTCATTCAGAGCAGCTTTGTGAACTGAATTTGCTGATTCTTGATCCTTGCACACGGAGTCCGAAATTTTCATATGTGTTTTTTTGTATTCGTCATCCTAAAAATTCGTCACGCACCGAAACCTTACACGCACTGAGTCCGATGCATATTAATTAATCTGTTGCAAAAAATTCGCAAAACAGTACTAAATTGAGTCTTCAAGCTGTGAGGATGATTTTGTTCTTCTCGCTTCTTAAAAAGAGAAAAAGAAAGGAAATATTGGGTCCATCCAATCCTGAGATATCCACCTTTTTCTTGTCGTAAAAATGGGCGCAGCCATTTGTAAATTCTATGGGTCTGGCTTCCGGTCTCATCTGCATCCAGCTATTTTTAGCTGTACAAAACGGTTAGTTTTGCTGCTTGATATTGAAAGTTGGTGTGTCTTATATTATTTTAATGTATTATCATTCAAAGTTTACTTCAGGATGTCAATGACTCAGTTTGATGTTTTGCTAGCGATACTAGAGCCACATATTAAAAAGAAGTCCACCAATTTCTGTGAGCTCAGTGTGCAAGGATCTTTACAGTGCTTTGTGCTGCGAGACGAAGTGGATGAACTTAACAATCGCCATTCTGGATTTTGGCGTTCGCTTGTACAGTGGCTCTGAATTGTCAAAACACCTCTCAAAATGCTTGCTACGGATGTGAAAAATGCAGAAAATCGAAGCCCATCCGAATTTTTTAATGACGGACGAAAGTTTCGGAGGCAGTGTGTAAACGTGATTGGCACGACATGAGGTTGTATTTATTTTTCAACGTGTGAAAATTTCGGACGAAAAATTTGAACTCCGTGTGCAATGGCCTTTAGTGTTTAATCTGAGCAACATGACACGAGGGTAAAATCACATGTCAATCCAAATCTGTATGACTGACTTGTCATGTGTGAAAAAGAATGAATCAGTTGTTGAATGAGTCAGTGAAGAATGAATCTGGCGCTCTTTTCCATACAGTTGGCAACTGGAACTTTAAGTTTGGAGAAAAAAAAGCACCATAAAATTAGTCCATATGGCTTGTGCACTATATTCCAAGTTATCTGATAGCTTTTTGAGTTTGAAATTAACGTTATTCAATGAAAATCTTCTCTTCCAGTCGTTGTGACCGGATCATTAAATCAGTGGGTTGAGCACAAGAACCAGATTGGTTTGAATTTGTGATTTGTTGAAGACTTAAGGCCAAAGTACACTTTGGTTATTACGCATACGCGAGGGTCCACGTACAGTGCGCCTGACCCAAATTTCATCACCAGAATAGTATACTGCACATGCACCCATTCGATTGCGTACTTTGTTTTGCAAAAGTCAACGCATTGACTTGGTTTTGCACTTTCACTAATCAATTGTACCACAACGCTGGTGATGGACTGATGATTCATAGTAGAAAACTAAATTAAAGAGACGGAACAACAACAAAATACGAAGTATACTTTGGGCTTTGCTCAGACCAGTTTTGTGAACTGAATCAACTGATTCATCAGTCTAATTGGTTACGAATGGCTACTTCTCCTAATGAACATGCCAAGTAGAGCTGAGTGAATGCCAAGATTAATTTTGCCCAAACAAAAATGTTATATGGCTTGAAAGATTTGAAATAAAGTTGCATGAGTCATATTAACCAAATTTTTTGAAGTTTGAAAGCTCCAGTCCCTGTTTATTGCAGTTGTATGCAACATAGCAACCTGTTCAACACCAAATTACTCTTGTTGTTTTCCACAGAAGTCATCGTATGAGTTTGGAATGAGAAAATCATGGATTTTGGGTGAACTATTCCTTTCATAAAGAATTCAATTGATGTGCGGTCACCAGGTGTGCACCTGTCGGCATATTTTATAAACGGCTTTGAACATGGCTCATCCAATCCGCTTTTAGAGTTTGAGCTCTATAATACAGATCATTTAATGCTCAACCTGAGACATGGAGGAACGACCTGAATGAGCAGTGATTTGTTTCACTTGACTCGTGATTATTGAATGATCTCTCAGGTCGCTTATACTCGCACATGGCACAATAACCCCCTTTTTCTCCACGGGGTCAGAGAACAGGGTGGCAAAGCCTCTCTTTGTGCCACAAACAGGATTTCTCCTGCATTCTGTAAAGCCGCTTTATGCAGCAGCTCTGCGTGTGTGTGTCCAAAGCTTTGGAGTGATGTGGAAATGTGGAGAGCTAAATGGATCAGGAATCTCTCCAGTACTGTGGCCAGTGACATATGGCCCGGCCCATGACCGGCAGGGCACTGCATGCTTCATTTGTGGTCAAAGAGGGCTATTTACTTTCCTTTTCCAGCTTTTTTTTCCCCCCTGCCAGCTCTTTCCTGTCGTTCTCCATCCGTCTTTTTTTTACTTGAATCCTATCCAGGCTCTCACTCGGCCCCACATCAGCTGTTCTTCCTGCTGCAATGCAGAGGTTTACTGACAGTTTGCTCAGAGTTTGAGCAGAGAGGTTTTGCCGGTTTTTACCTGCTACCAGTCTGATTCACATTTGTGGGCCACATTCAGTAAATACAAATTTCTCTGTAAATTTTTTATAAAAGCTGTTATTCTGTGACTTGATTAATTGAAGGTTTTCTTAATTAACAGACTCCATGATTAACTTATAGTTCTAATTTAAGAAAAAAAAGCATTTTTTTTTACAGCATATTTTTGTCACAAATAATAGGTTTGATTTTTATAATAATTCGTTTTTTAAAATATATTCAAAGTGTTTTTGGATATTAAAACTGGTTGCAACAATTTATTTTAAATTTGTATCCTCATCTTTGTTATCTAGCTAGATAATGTTTTCTTGATATTTTAATCAGCAAAATTTTTAACAGCAATGTTTATCACAGAAAACCGTATGCATTAGTTTGCAAGGTAAAAAAATGTGCACATGATCAACAAACATAAGGGGTCGTTTATTTTTGCACTTTTGTAGTTTCGTTTGGTGTAATTACACACTTACATAAAAAAAGATCACTCAAAGTTCACTTTGAGCTCACTCAAAAATCAAAATTCAGTCAACATTTACTCACCTTCATGTCATTCCAAACCTGTATGACTTGCTTTTGGGGGTTTTCAGAAGAAAGTATGCTACCATTCAAAGGTATTGGATAATATTTATAAGATGTTTTTGAAAGTTTCTTATGCTTATGAAGGCTGTATTTATTTGATCAAAAATACAGTAAATATTTATAATTTAAAATACAATTTTTCTATTTAATATATTTCAAGTGTTATTCCTGAGATGCAAAGCTGAATTTTCAGGAGTCATTCTGTCTTTAGTGTCACGCGATCCTTCAGAAATCATTTTAATATGCTGATTTACTGCTCAAGAAACATTTCTTATTCTGATCAATGTTGAAAACAATTTAAGTGCTGCCTAATATTTTTGTGCAAACCATGATGCATTGTTTTCAGGATTCTTTGATGAAAAGAACAGCATTTATTTCAAATAGAGATCTTTTGAAACATTACGAAACAAATGTCGTTATTGTCACTTTTGATCAATTGAATGCATCCTTGCAAAATAAAAGTATTAATTTATTGGGGGGGAAAAGCGTACTAACCCCAAACTTTTGAAAGGTAGAGTACGTAGGTTTATGCGCCTAGTAGTTTACTGTTTACAGTCAGTTTGATTTTGTCTCTAACCACAGACCTCAGCAGAGATTGTCAACATGGTCTTCAGTTGAGTATCTACGATCGTTCGAGAGCATGTATTCTTCATTGTGTCTTCGACCTTGGATCTGACCTTCTTCTTATCTATATTTCAGCTCTCATGTACCGCAGTAACAGTCGTGTGATTGACTGAATTGCTTTGGCGATGTGCAAGCTGCATGCAAACATGCCTAGAGCTCTCTCTCTCTCTCTTTCTCTTTACTCAGTGCTTCATCAAAATAGCTCCTTGTCCTTCCTTCCCCTCCCCAATCCCTCCATCCTTATTAAGAAAAGAGCAAGAGAGTGATATCAAGAGATGGAGGACTACATTAGTTGTGCGGTGGGTGAGTGGAGTGGCACACAGAAGTCTCTTCCAGCCAGGTCTGGCTCTCTGGGGCATAATGTGTGTATCAGCATCATTTAGCACATACTGTTTAAAGAGTCGGGAAAGGTCATGGCTGCGAGGGGAAGCCTGCGGTGGGAGGGAGAGGGGTGAGGAAGTGAGTTGATGAATGTGTTGAATAAAGAATGCAGTTTGCCGGCTAATGATCTAATGGCTTCGTGGTGTCTGCATACGATGCGTGTCACACACCAGAGCTGCTGTCGCCTGCAAGAAAGCACAGACTGCTGAGAACACCTGCAGCATGTGTGTTGGTTTAGTCTGCTGGTGACCGAACATGAATGTGTGTGTGTTTTGTGTGTCTTCTTTTCCTTAGAGGAAGACGTGGAAAATTTCGAAATGGCAAGCTTGCCTCTGGATACGCAACGAAACATTGAAGCCGACAGCTTTTGGTGCATGAGCAAATTGCTGGATGGGATACAGGTATTTGTTCCACTTGAGGTTTGATTGGTTAGATGGGAGATGTCATAACCATCTTTCTCCAGTGATTTCCATTCAAAAGTAGCCATTCGTTCTAATTATTTTATTTTATTTTTTTTTTTATATATTTTTATATTTTATACTATTTTATTTTAGTTTGCACAAGCAGTTTATCAATCCTAACTATTTAATTTCACCCTTGTCATTGTTTCTTTTTCTTCCTAAAATAATTATCTATGTATTGTTACTCTGACTACTTTATGGAATTTAATTTTTTTTAAATAAAAATTTATATATAAACAAATGTATAATACATGTTATTCATGCCATCATCGTTTTTCTTATTTATTTTTATCTTATTCCTTTTTATTTCTATAACATTTCTAATAATAATAATAGTGATCTTTTTTTATTGTTACTGTTATTTTATTTTATTCAAAGGAGAAAAATTATTATTTTCTTCATCATCATCATCATTTTTTTTATTGGTACTGTTAATATTTATATAATTTCCTATGAACATATATAAATACATTTATACTTAGATTTAATTTCATTCATGTCATTCGTGTCTGTTTTTTTCTTATCTTTCTTATTCTTATCCCTTCTTTCATCTTATTTAATGGAAGCAAAATTATTTTTTTCTTCCTCTTGTTTTTCCTCCTCCTCATAATAATAATAATAATTTTTCGAAAAAATCTTTTTTGTTGGTATACTGTTACTAATATTTGTTATAAGTTTTAAATAATTTTCAAATTTTAATTTCATTTGGTCATCATCATCTTATTCCTTATTTTTATTTCTCTTCTTTATTTCTTAATAATAATGATCCCATACTTCACAAAATTCAATTAAAATACATTATGCACCAGCAGAGCTACTGCCATTAAGACCGTAACGGTAATAGCTTTCTCCAGGCATTATAGACCTTCTTGGTCCATCTGCAGTTCCCTGAGGACAGTATCTCTTCGGTGTCTTTTTATTAAAACTAAACCCTGTAGTGGTCATCCTGTCCTTTTGTTCTTTTCCAAAAGCCAGAGACAAGTTGAATCCAATGCAATAAAAAAAAGACTCTCTGACGGACTGAAAAAAGGCACCGACTTTGTTGTGCTTAAGCCCTAGAGGATAAGACACTTACCCGCCCAGGGGAGAGAGACATAAAAACTTGGAGAGGAAGTTGAAGCTAGGACGTTTAAGCTAGGGGGATTCAGATCTTTGGCTGTGTTCCCTTGAGAACAGCTCCTATGTTAGAGTGAGGCGAGCGTGTGAGCGCACTCATCTGAAGGCGGGAGCAAGGGTCAGATGCAGGCCGCAGTCAGGTTGTCCCGTGGGCCGCTCTGTGTTGTGCTCATTGGCTGAGTGGAGCCAAGCTGAAGGCCAGAACGTGTGCACGGATCAGAACACAGAATGTGTCTTCCCATGCAGTCGTCCCCCTGGGCTGAAAACACGAGCCGCAGCACAGCAGACGGCCACTGGCCCTTAATGACCCTCAAGGGATGAGGAACAGAGATAGAGAGACGGAACAAAATTAGTTACGATGTAACGATAAATTTGACGATATTGTGCCCACAGTTAATCACCTGGTACCAAGCCATGCATCAGAGGTGTCGTTCAGTAACTTGCTTTTTATTTCATTTTATTTTACCATTGTTGTTACTGTTTTCTCTTTCTTCTTTTTTTTTATTATTATTTTTTTTAATTTTACTTTACCATTGTTGGTACTGTTTTCTCTTTATTTTATTTATTTATTTGTTATTTTATTTTATTTTAGTTGTTAGTTTAGTTGTTACTGTTTTCTCTTACTTTTTATTTTATTATTTTATTTACATTTTTGCACAAGCAGTTAATAAACCCTAACTAATTAATTTCACCCTTTTCATTACTGTTTTCCTTTTCTTTTCTTATTTTTCTTTAACTATTTATTTGTTTTTAGTTTTTTTTATATTTAATTTTATTTTTCAACTCTGCTTCTTTTCAACCTTTCACCACACAGCCAACTATTTTTTTTGTAAGCAGTCTATTAATTATAACATTTATTGTTTATTTCAGGTCTCTTAAAAGCATTTTTACAGGTTTAGTTTTAACAATTACCACGTAGAATAAAAATTGCCCTTCCATAACACTGATTGCAGAGCTTTTCGTGTCATGTAGGTCAAAGTGGCGCATGATGCTTATATTGAGCAATTGAAGCTCTTATATAAGTCCTGTGAAAGAGCCTTAGTGAGTTGACAGAATAATTATTCATGTTCTAAATTCTGCCTTTGTTTTTCTCTATCAGGACAACTACACATTTGCCCAGCCTGGGATTCAGATTAAAGTGAAGGCGCTGGAAGAGCTCGTTAGCAGAATAGATGGTAAGATCATGTTGACAAACGCGTCAATTCCTTTCATGCTTCATGAAATTAAAGTAATTGTTTGTGTAAAAATAAGAATTTTGATAATTTGCTTCCTCTTGTTCATTATTTAAAAAAAATCTCAGAACCACTATATACTGAAAAACAAAATTAAGTTTAATAAAAATAAGTTTAATAAAAATGAACATTTTCAAATTAAATTGTGTTTTGGAATTGAACAGACCCTGATCACTGTATGCTTTCATTGTGACAAAAGAGCAACGTAAACATTCTTTCAAATTTCTCATTTTGAGTTCCCACATGTAAAACAATTTGCAACGACATCAGAATGAGTAAATGTTTACAAAATTGTAATATTTAAGTGAAACGGATATTTCAAATGTTTGGGGTAGTTGGTCCTCACCAAGCAAGTTACCTTTGAAGCTAGAAATCACTCTCTTTTTGCACTTTCTTTTTGACATTTCAACAAAGCTGTACTCGTAGATATATATTTTTTTTTTTCACTTGTTGTAGCTGTTGTTCTTTTGAGGAGCATAAAAGTTTTGATAGGTTTCTATGAATAGCCGCTTTTTGCGACACGTCAGGTTTTTTTTAACACCCTCAGAAGCTTCAGCACAAATAACACATCATGACTGTCAGAACAAAATGGCAAAATCTGGAGTCCATCAAATTATCCTATCTTTTTTGCCCTTTGCCCTCCAGAATGATGTGCACTAGTTGTATCGAACCATAAATAGCGGTGCAAAATGTTCAAAACAACAAGGAGCTGTTTTTCTGCCAGGGTGCGATCTTGTTCGTCGCCTTGGAAAAGACTTGTTTTCCCATGGCGTTGGCCGTTTCTGTGTCTTGGAATCACACGTTTCCATTATGCCACTAGTCCGCCTCTGTTTTTTTTTTTTTTCTTTGAGAGTGTTTATACCATCTGGACGCCTCCTCCCCTGTTCAGAGTGATTGGTGTGATAAGCTGAACAGCCCACACTGAAACTCTCGGTGAGAGCCGCCGCGCGCCTCTTTCCCATCCATCAGCATCCACCAGCACCGTGAGCAATAGCAGACCCCACAGTCTCGCCGGGGAGCACAGGAGAGAAATCAATTCCCCATAAGCCTCTGCGATTAGGGTGTGAAGGCAAATGGAAGTGAGCTGAGAGGAGAGATGAATGGAGTGAAGGGAAAACAAATCGCACTTTCAGAAAGACTAGTCAGGAAAATACACTAGCGAGTATCTTGTAGATGTACCAAATGGTGTTTTTAATTAAACGTTGGAATGAGTAAAATGACCGGCGTTCGACTTGATAAATAAGCTTAGCTGTGGATAAGTAGTCATGTGTGAATTATAACGCACTGGTTTTGAATCGATGTTAACTGTTCGCATTCCCTGTTTAACATGTGATAAATTACAGGTACATCTCAAAAAGTTAGAATATCATGAAAAAGGTCAATATTTTTTGTCACTCATTTCAGAAAGTGAAACCCATATATTATATAGATTCATTACACATAGAGTGAAATATTTCAAGCCTTTATTTCTTGAAATGTTGATGATTATGGCTTACAGATCATGAAAACCCAAAATTCAGTGTCTCAGAAAATTAGATTAGTGTGAAAAAGTTCAATATTGGAAAGTCATGGTGTCACACCCTAATCAGCTAATTACCTCAAAACACCTGCAAATGTTTCCTGAGCCTTTAAATGGTCTCTCAGTCTGGTTCAGTAGGCTTAGGGCTGCACGATTTGGAGAAAAAATCTAATTGCGATTTTTCTGATCAAAATTGCGATTTGCAATTTAAAATGCGATTTCATAAAAGAGCTACAGGTTTGTTGTGGTGGTTAACAGCACCAAAGAAAGACCAATCATAATCACAAACTATGCTACACTGTGATACTGTTTATTTAAAACCTCTTAAACATTGTGGCCATTTTTTTTATGAAGTTGTCATGATGCAAACATCTGTCATGACAAATTAAACTAAAGAAAATAACTACATCTTAAAGTTAAATTAACAATTATATATAAAATCTTAAACTTTCAAGAACCCTAACACACTGTAAACAATTCTACATCAGTAAAACACTGACCTTAACCTACATTAAGGTTGAAACAATGACAGCACAAGTTTTGCCATTTAAAGTGCAAAGTACATGAATAATTCTGAGGCCAAAAGGCCTACAAGAAAACCTTCACATTTAGATTGTTACATTTTCACATTGTTCAGGGTAATGTGCTTAAAGATTTTTTGACAAAAAGAGCAGCATATCCACTCTCTCTGGTTTGAGACATGACCGTTGACATGTTACTATATTGCCTGCTGCACTGAAGAGTCTTTCCGACGGTGTGCTTGTGGCAGGAACACACAGGTATCGGCAAGCCAACCTGCTCAACCTGGTAAAGTTAACCTGGTGCTGTTTCCACCAGGTCAGGGGATTCTCTTCTCCATCAATTGCTGGTGCAGTTAAGTAGCCATTTAGCTCTGCTTCCACCACATGATGAAAATTAGGAGGTTCTTCTGTAGACACAGAGGATATCTTGAAATAGCTGCTAAGTGTCTTTGCTTTCACAGATGAGGCTGCTGCTAAATACTGTGACTCTGAGACACGTGATCTTTTCTCCTGTAACATTCAAAAACAGGGCAAGCAAGTTACTTAAGTTTTAACATTTTCAGTACAGAAATGAATGCTCAACACATTTCCTCATAAGTGCCATTTTTCACAACCTTTGGGTTACGAATCCAAATTCTAACCATTAGGCCACAACTGTTAGATTAGTGTCGTCCTGATCTTCAGCGAGTGTCTTTGTCCTCAAAAGGTTAAGAACTGGCTTAAGATAGGAGACACTAACATAATCCTCTCCCGAAAGCACATCTGTAAACTCCTGAAGTGGATGTAGAGCTTTGTGGATGGATTCCAACACCTCTGTCTTGCCATGTCAGCGTTAGATGCCTTGTTTTCTTGTCTGCAGACAGCACATGATTCAAAGCTTTACATTGCTCCAGAACCCTTGCAATCATTTTTTCTTTGGTTCCCCATCTTGTTGGGCACTCTGTAATCAATGAGTGCTCAGGCAGATTCAGCTCTTTTTGGGCTGCAGTCAATGCCATTCTTTTCTTCCAGCTGTAGGAGAACTGACTGACCAGCTTCTTGCAAACGCCTACTGCTCGCTGCACCCTGTCATCTTTCAATGCGTTTTCTGAAAATATACCATTAAAAAAAGGTTAGAATGCAATTATCTCAGTTAGCATTAGTTAAAGGGGTCATATGATGCTGCTAAAAATAACATTATTTTGTGTATTTGGTGTAATGAAATGTGTTTATCCGGTTTAAAGTAAAAAAAACACTATTTTCCACATACTGTACATTATTGTTTCTCCTCTATGCCCCGCCTTCTGAAACGCGTCGATTTTTACAAAGCTCATCGGTCTTAAAAAGCGAGGTGTGCTCTGATTGGCCAGCTATCCAGTGCGTTGTGATTGGCCGACTACCTCAAGCGTGAGACGGAAATGTTACGCCCCTCACCATACTGTGTTGATGCCGTGTCTGGCCGGAGCAACGACACAAAAACATGAAAACCCATTACAAACGAGGCATTTGTTGCATCCAGTGGGGACATAATTACTGATTATAATGACTTATACTGTCGTTTTACGCGTTGCGTTGCATTGCGCCGCGTTAACATAAAACCATGTCTGCATTTGTGATCAGAGAAATGACAAACAACAAGTGCTATTCTACACTGCCCAAAACTCGCGTTTGAATCGTCAGTGGCAAATCCTTTAAATGAAAACGTACTTGCGTGAGTCAGAACTGCCGGCATTTTAGTCAAACGTTACTCTCCCAGGATCAGTAAACAGTCCTCCATAAAATGTACCGGCAATCCACAGCACTAAGTTGATGTATTCCCTCAGCGACCAGCACAGATCAGCTCTAGGCATGACGAAGCGGATATTGTCCTCTTTTGGAAGACCAAACAAAGTAGTTTCGCTTTCACAATGAAAAACACAGCGGCCTATAGTGTGAGCGAAAGCCCCGGCTTAGCGTGAGCTGAGGCCGGGCAAGAGTGAGCTGAGGCGGCAGGGTCGAGAACGGCGGTCCCGGCGGATCCGATGAAGGAGCGGTGAAAGCCGATCCGGCGATCCACAGCACTGAGTTGATGATTCCCTCAGCGACCAGCACAGATCAGCTCTAGGCATGACGAAGCGGATATCGTCCTCTTTTGGAAGGCCAAACAAAGTAGCTTCGCTTACACAACGAAACACACAGCGCCTTCACGACATGGCGGCAGCGGCAACAATACTACAGCGAGAATAAAAGTTACGCCTTCTTTCTTTGCGTGAACATTTGGGTGGCGTTATGCAAATCTTCCCACATAGTGAGGTAGATATGTGGGGGCGTGTTCGAACGAGCTGTTTTAGGTAGGTGTGGCTGACTCTTAACTTTTATAAAGAATATCTCTTTGGATTTGAGACTTTAGTCTTTGCAACTTTACGGATCTTCTTTATGCACCAAGAGCTTGTAACACTCCAAAGAGAAAGGAAAAAATGAAATTGCATCATATGACCCCTTTAATATCTAAGATGTGAATGAGCCTACAATGAACAACATTATTTAGAGTATTTAAGTTCATTTTAATTTATATACACATACTTTACTCCTTATTAATAATTCATATTTGTTCATAAGTTTTTTTAAACTAACAGAAATGTTAAACATGTATAAGTTCATGCAGTAAATTATATTATTAACAAAGCTCAACCAATGCTGTAAAATTATTTATCATTGTTATTACAATATGATTATGTAATGTATATGAATAATTCCCGATTATAAAATGTATATTATACATGGACACTTACCAATAGCAAGATGGAGTCTGTGACCAAAGCACTGCAGCCTGGTCCATCCATTTATTTCCACTGCCCTTATTATGTTGGCTGCATTGTCTGTGGTGATGCACACCTGGCCTTCTTCATTCAGACCCCAGCCAGCTAGAGCATCTTTCAAAGCAGAAGCGATGTTTTCTCCCGTATGGTCAGTGGGAAAGTACGACGTTTGTAAACAACGACTCTTTAATTCAAAATCCTCACATATGAAATGAACAGTGAGACTTTGATATGGTTCAGTCGTCCTGCTCGACCACATGTCAGTTGTCATTGCGTAATATTTCACCTCTTTTAGCTCAGCTTCAACCTTCTTCCTGCACGTATTGTACAGGTTTTGGATGGCTTGAGTAAAGAACGTACGAGAAGGAATGCAATATTTTTTATCGAGCGTTAGGATAAGATTCTTAAAACCATCTTTTGTGACCACGTTAATCGGCACCATATCTTTAGCCAGGCAACTTATGGCGTCTGTTATTTTGCCATACCTTCGTGAAGATTTGTCATAGGGTGTGACACTTTCTAACGCTTGAGCAATTAAAGTTTGCTTGGATGTCAGTCGCGGTGGTTGTGACGAAGTGTGTTCATCGGTGGGCCTTTTGGCCATGCATTCATCATAGATTTGTCTGTGATACTTCTGCAGGTGCTGATACAGGTTGGTTGTGTTACCTCACGAGGTCGACACAGACGTTCGGCAGGTTTTACAAAGTACTTGCCTTTGAAGTACATCAGAACGTCGAAATCCAAAATAATTCCAAACATATGTGGTGCTTTTTCGTTTAGGTACCAAGTCGTCTGCAGGACTTTGCTCTTCTGCAGACACACTTTGTTGGGAAGTTAAACTGCTGCTCTCGCTCGTGCTCATCTTTTCCAGATGGCGTTATTTGCTCGTTCAGTCAATATATCTCCGTTCAGTCAGCACGGGCAGTGTTAAAATGCCCCCTATTGGTTCAACTCTGCATCAAACGTAAAATGCGCATTAAGCAAACTGTCAAAAACTACGTAGATGCTTGTTACCATATTTGATAGTCCTTCATCGAAATAATCGCAGCTCTTGCGATTTGAAAATCAAACCCTCTCAAATCTCGATTTTGGTTTACAAATGATTAATCGTGCAGGCCTAAGTAGGCTACACAATCATGGGGAAGACTGCTGACTTGACAGATGTCCAGAAGACCCTCCACAAGGAGGGTAAGCCACAAAAGTTCATTGCTAAAGAAGCTGGTTGTTCACAGAGTGCTGTATCCAAGCATATTCATAGAACGTTGAGTGGAAGGAAAAAGTGTGGTAGGAAAAAGTGCACCAGCAAGAATTTGAGGGAGCTTCACAAGGAGTGGACTGAGGCTGGCGTCAGCACATTCAGAGCCACTACACACAGACGAATCCTAGACATGGGCTACAAATGTCGCATTCCTCGTGTCAAGCCACTCCTGAACCAGAGACAATGTCAGAAGCGTCTTACCTGGGCTGTGGAGAAAAAGAACTGGACTGTTCCTCAGTGGTCCAAATTACTCTTTTCTGATTAAAGTACATTTTGCATTTCATTTGTAAATCAAGGTCCCAGAGTCTGGAGGAAGAGTGGAGAGGCACAGAAATCATGTTGCTTGAAGTCCAGTGTGAAGTTTCCACAGTCAGTGATGATTTGGGCTGCCATGTCATCTGCTGGTGTTGGTCCACTTTGTTTTCTGAAGTCCACAGTCAATGCAGTCATCTACCAGGAAATGTTTGAGCAGTTCATGCTTCCTTCTGCTGACAAACTTTATGGAGATGCTGATTTCATTTTCCAATATTCTAATTTTCTGAGACACTGAATTTTGGGTTTTCATTATCTGTAAGTAATAATCATCGAAATTTCAAGAAATAAAGGCTTGACATATTTCACTCTGTGTAATTAATCTATATAATATATGGGTTTCACTTTCTGAAATGAGTGACAAAAAATATTGACCTTTTTCATGATATTCTAATTTTTTGAGATGTACCTGTATGTTACATAACATGTTACAGAGTATATTTAGCAGTCCTTAAGGCTGGTATTTATGTGTTTGACATCTATTAGTTATTTTAATAAAGCATACAAATAAGTGCAAAATTATACACTTTTTGTAAAAATGATGGCAATATTGTGAAATATTATGACAACTATTTTAATAAAATGGCAAGTGCTTTTATAAACTATTTTAATATATTTCATATGCTATTATGCAAAGCTGAATTTTCAGCATCATTACTCCAGTGTTCAGTGTCACGTGATCCTTCAGAAATCATTCTGATATGCTGATTTGCGGCTCAAGAACTAATACTATTTTTATGCATTAATTTATGAACCATTATAAAGACTAAAATAATTGAGATGCTGTCCGAAACGTTTGCCGTTTTTATTTTATTTGTTGCACGTATTCACTTTGCAAGTGTCTTTTTATTTTATTATTATTATTAAAACAGTTGTGAATAAAGTAGCATTAGGGCTTATTCAAACCAATACAAAATATCGGAATTTAAATATGTATAAACAAAGTACGAGTACAATGCCTCAATTTGGGATGGCTCTTAACATTTTTTTTTTAACATTTATCTGGAAAGTTTAGTCTTTTTTTTTTTTTTTTTTTTTCTTGGGGGACAAAAAAAAAAA